AATTTAATAATATTTTCTTATATGTACTTTCTATGTATTGTTATTGCACGTTATGACTATACGGATTGCACGTCAATATATACCGAATTGCACCAAATTGAACAAATAAAAATTTTGTACAAATTTTTATATTCTTGGTACAATTATTATTATTATTTTTATTTTAAGGGAAAATTATGCCTAATATCACCACCTTTATCGAAATTGCAAATTAATCACGACTTTTGGACTTTGGCGCACAATATCATGATCTTCAATTTTTGGCAATACGGTACATGAAATTCCTCAGCTCCCAAAAAAAAATCGACGTGGCTTAAATTTGCCACCGCGGAGGCTCAGATGGCGGTCCACCTCAGAGCAATACCGCGTCGTTTTAATTCTTTTTATCTACGTCAGATCAAAACGACGTCGTTTCGATATCCTAGCAATACTGAAGTCATTAAACCCTAATTCCCTAATTCAGAAAAATGCAGAAAAATGCAGAAAAAACCAGAAAGATTCATAAAAACCTAATAAGCCATAACCTTAATCCCTAATTTTCTAATTCCATAATCAATCAACTTCATGGTTTCCAAATTCAGAAAAATTAAACCTAATAAGACATTAAACCCTAATTCCCAATTTAAACAATCTACAGGCTCAAAGCAATTACCATGGATACATGTAAACTAGGCTTACCAATCGATTTTTTCACATGTAGAACCTCCTACCCAAATTTCGATCGGTATTAGAGGTTAGCAATTCGGCCTCACCATGGATACATGTAAATTTTGATGTTGTACTCCTAGATGAGCTGGATTTGGTTGACATTTTGCCTACTCCTTCTTCTCCAATGACGAAAACCCAGCCCCAAAAATTTTCTCCTGCAGATTGAAGAAGGGTTCATCGACTGATTTGGGGATTTAATCAGCAATTTACCACTCAAAACGGCGTCGTTCGATCTGAGGTGGAAAAAAAAAAACTCAGATATCGAAACAATGTCGTTTTGATCTGACGTGGATAATAAGAATTAAAACGACGCCGTATTGCTCCGAGGTGGACCGCCAGCTAAGCCTCTGCGGTGGAAAATTTAAGCCACGTCGATTTTTTTTTTTTGGGAGCTGAGGAATTTCATGTACCGTATTGCCAAAAATTGAAGATCATGATATTTTGCGCCAAAGTCTAAAAGTCGTGATTAATTTACAATTTCGATAAAGGTGGTGATATTAGGCGCAATTTAGTCTGGTATAATGTCATTTTTTATTCAAATAATCGAAATAAAAAAAACTATATTAAAAATAATAATTTAATGTCGAGCTTCCTGTAGAATACTGTTATTTATTTAATATATTTATTTCAATAAAAACTATAAAAAATATTACATATTAGTGAAATGTTAAAATGTATTGTTTTGTTATATATTTTTTAAACATTGCAATTGTATCCTTTAACTGTATCTATTTTTTTTTTAAAAAAGCCCCAAAATTCTAAAAAATGAAACGTTCCTATCTGGCGGCTCCCTTTCTGCCGGCGACGGTACGGCGGGGCTCTGGCGGCGACGGGGGAGGGCCAGCGCGGCAGTGGTGTTGGTTCTCGCCACCGGCGACCTGCGACTTATCTGGTGGGGCGACATGGCGGAGATGCAGTGGGCCGGCGAGGCGAGGATGTTGTGGTCGGACGGATGGCGGAGGCGAGGCAGGTGGCGGATGGCGGCGACCTGCGATTGGAAGAAGATGGCAGACGACGGAGGTGGATGGCGGAGGCGAGGCGAGGATGTTGTGGCCGTCGACGTGAGCTCTGGACGAGTTGGCGGACTCGGCGAACGATGGCGGCAGCGTGTCTGAGGACGGCGGATGCATGACCGTCAGGCTCGTTGCAGTTGCGGTAGCGGTGGCGTGCCAGAATCGGCGAACAGTGGCCGGACTGTTAGTTGCCGCAGAGAGATAGATATAAGGGTGATAGAGGAGAGAGGAGAGAATAACGGGTGAGAGAGGAGAGAGGAGAGAGAGGAGAGAGGTAAGTTTGTTGGTTGTAGTGGTGGGCCCCACGTGGGATTTAAAATGATTGGGTTATTACTATTATGACCTTAATTAGTGTTTGATGTGTATTTTTTACCATGAAAATTACTCTTATCTACGAAAGTGCCACCGCAGATTTGACTGGATATTTATATTTTGACTGGATCATTACCATTGATATATTAGATCTAATGGTCCTAAATCATTCTTATTTTCTTTCACTATCTTCCATTCTCATATGATCCTTTCTCTATCTCTATATATATATATATATATATATATATATATATATATATATATTATTTTAAAGTTAAAAAATTTTTAGTTTTTAAATTACGTCTATATTGTTTTGTTTTTTCTTATAACTTATAATAATGTATAATTTTAAATTTTCTTTCAAAGAAAAATTTTGAACTCCTTAAATATACAATTTTTGGTATATACACATCATCAGAGGCATTTGTTAAGAGAGACTTGTTTAGATATCAATTATATTGTAGTATTGTGCTACTTATGTCTTTTTTTTTCGAAACAATAGAAATATTATAATAAATCAAAAAGCGCAAATGTGCGAATATACAACAGTCAACGACTGAAAATACAGTAGCCAACAGCTGAAAAAAAAAGGAGGACAGTTCTTCAGAAGCCCGCCTAGAATACCGGCTAGCAAACGCTAGAATAAAAAACTAACCCACAACACAAACCACTAACACAACAACAAGACTCCAACAGAGTAATACTCAAGTGCCGGATCCCAACAGGGTAATACCCGAGTGTCGGGCCCCAATAGGGTAATAATATGACACTCGGGCGAATAGATTGACACTCGGGCGCACAGAGGCCAAAGGCCCAAACCAAAAACACAAACCAGAGACAAACGACACCAAACTAAACAGCAAATAACAAACAAACACTAAAAAAACCCAGCAAAACACTAAAAAAATAAACTAGCCCTTCCCACAACAGCTGCACCCAACCTAACCAGCGGAAACAAGTCGACCAAGCATCCCACAACCAGAAGAACCAATCCCGAAACTGCCAAAACCAATCGGTTGCCTAACGGAATCGAAACCCCAAACCCTGGAACATCACCAAGCCAACCTGCACCACAGCCATAACACCAATCGCCCCCCAGCAAGAGAGTGCCATGGCTCAGTCCCGACCCCTAGTCGTTTGGAAGATGTCCAAAAACCACCGCACCTCCGCATCGCCACTCCGACCAACACCACTGGGTGAAGAAAGGACACGACGGCTCCCCCGACCCAAAAACTAGTACAGGGATGAGCGGCCAAGAACAACCGCACAGCATAGGCCACCCGACAGCAACTCCGCCGAGCAACCGAGCCACGGCCCCACCCCAAGAACCGCACCAAAGCTCTACCACGCCCAAACGGAGAAACAACGACCCTGAGATCACGAATCGACGCCGGAGATGACGAATCCATCCGCGAATATCGGGGCCAAGCTCCACAAAAACAAAGGGGAGAGCGCAAAATAAGGGATGGGGCCCAAACAATTAAGTACCGGCGACCGCCGACGAAGTTCGATGGCCGCTGAGGAAGACTGGTATGCACGAATTAGAAGCTTGGCGGCGGAAGGTTTGGGAACAAGGGTTTCAGAGGGAACAAGGGTTTCACTTTCTTGTGTTACTTTTGCGTGCGCATTGTGCTAGTTATGTCAATAAGATTAATTCAATTGATTTCTGATTTATTTTGTACTTATATTACTGAATGTTCGCACACATATATCAAGCTACATAGAGTTGAATATCCCAAAAAGCAGTAGAACGTATTATTTGCTATTAATGATAAAGATTGTAAAGATAAATAGTTAATTTCTATTGATATTGTGGAAAATTGTCTTTACAACTTTCAAAAAACTGAATCGATTGAGTTAATGATAATTCAATGATTTTAATATAATCCTCTTGATTAATAAATGGTTTTTTAAGATACAATAAAAAAAATATTTTGGTCTATGGTCGGTTACCAAATGAATAGGAAGTACCTTGATTTGTTATTAATGTTGATAAACCTATTGTAACTTTTGTGATAAATATCATACCAAAATTTTCACAACTAATTTTCAATTTTTATTCTACAATCATACTTGCCATTTTATAGTGCATAACCAAGTAATATTTTCCGAAATAAAACCTATTTAATAGATGCTTTTCGAAGACATGTGTATGGTTGATTACCAAAAGAATAAGAAATTTCAGTGATTCGTAATTAATACAAAGAATCAAACTTTTATTGCGATAATTATCACAAAATAAATTTTAAAATTGATACCACTTTATTTATAGGAAAAATCGTTCTATTAACTAAATTGCACGATATACAACGGGTATGTGTAATTTGATATTCATTTATTTTCATTCATAATATTAATATTAATTTTACAATATTTTCTTTAATAGTAAGTCAACATATTTAATTACAAAGCCAAAGTTACTATATAGATACATTTTATGAAATACATAAAGTTGCATTTAGTTGGAAATAGACCATGCAATTGACATACAAAAGCAGCCGCACATGGGAATAACTAGAAATCTTCATAATCCTTAGATAATAACATGTTCAAAAACAAATCTGCATGGCAGTAGGAACCAATCACCCATGCAGTAGCATCTAAAAGTTCCACACACCCCATTCCCACAAAACAGTAAACAGAAAAACAAATAAAAGAAACCTCATTGTTTTTCATACCAAGGTTCCATGGGACAAATACTGTGACTATGTAGCTCCTCCAACCCACAGGGCCATCAGTTATTCTCACATACTATGAACAAATTAACACATTATCTCAAACAAAAAAGGGGTTTACACTTACAACATAACATACTTCTTCAGCGGTTCAATTGCTTCACCCCTGAAAGTATATAGATAGGCGCTCACACAGAGATGATACAATAAGGGCTAAGCAGCCTACGTCCAAGGCATGTTGGTGGGTAAGAAAACAAATGTAAGATCTTTCAGCTTCCATCTTTCTCGTCTGTCATTCGCCACAAGCCCCGAGACGAGGTTTTGAGGGGTAGACAAAGATGACAGAAGAGGTGGATGAGGGCTGTAGACCAGCAGAGTATCTCACTGAAGTCACGGTAACCCTCGGTAGCTGCAGGGAGCCCGAGACGAGGGGCACAAGCATGTAACTCACTGCATGGGCCGAGCCGGGCAGGACATAGATTGTATCACTGTGAGGCCCGGACAGTACAAAGCTCTGTGAATCAGACATCGAGCACTTGACCTCCTGCAGCAGCTCCGTGTGATTGTTAATCCTGACAGAATACACAAAGGGACTCCCAGTAACTGCGTGAGGCGGGCATTCCAAGCTCACAACCAGAGGAGGAAGCTCGACATTCACATCCGGAAGTCTCAGTTTCGTAACTTGAGATTGAGGAACACATGAATGAAACTCATCCTCTACTCTGGTTGGGACCCTCTGCCATTTCAGGCTAACGGTACCGATTTTCAGCTTACTTCTGCTATTTACATTAGGGACGACAGCGAAAACCTTCTTAAACTCTTCTCCTGGGACATGAACTAAGGGTTTTTCAAATTCTTCGTGCCGAGGCCGCACACAACACGAGCCGTCAGTCTCATCCCCCTCAATAGATATAGAGAGAAGCCTGAGTGGCACCTCCGAACAATTCTTGAAGCTGATCACAAGCATAGTTCGTTCGTTCAGAGCTAGCGAGGGTATCCGATCAGGTTCGGGCACCGACTTGATCCTTGACAGCAAGAGAGGATCCTGCCTGAATGGGAGCATGTAACGATGGCTGATTGCAAGGGCAGTTTTGCCTTCAATCTGCAAGCTTTTATGTACGTACACTTTTTGTACGCTGGGTTCGCTATTCTGAGGACAGTAACCCAGCGAGACATACAGCATGACAGGTTTGGGACGGTTCCATTTAATTTTGAGTTTGCAGGACCATGAGTCCCCGACATCAAGAGATGGAATGGAGATCAACCCAAAAGATGGCTGGATTTTCTGAATGTTATTTGGAGGAGATTCAGGCTGGTCTTCAGGCACGCTGCAAGTTACGTCAATAAGCTCAACATGGAGATCGTCAGCCAAATAAGGTTCATCTCTGGGGCTAAGCAGCCCACCGCCTCTTGTATCTACCAGGTTAATCTTCAACTCACCTGAATGAACTGCGTGTCCCTTCGAAGCAACTGTCACAGGAATACTAAAGCTTTCCCCAACAAGTGCAGGTCCAGATGAGCCTAAGATTAGATCCACTTGTGGGTCTGGCTCTTCTACCTGTATAGCCTTCTGCCCGGAGAATGCCAGACCAAGATCCATGGCGGGAGTGGTTTCCAGTAGGTTTTCAAATTTCCAGAGGGGTATTTCGTTCATCGAAGCAGGACTCTCAGCTCTGCAACATATTGTGAAGTGGGCACCTATTCTTGCAATTACGTATATACACTCGAGTTTCCCGCTTTGATCTGCATCAGCAGTGAGAAAGTCTTACTTTGACATGGAGTGAAAAACACAATTAATTTAGACAGAAATGACAAATATAGAATATGACTAACTCAGGTACATAATAGGACTAAACTTTGTCAGATAATTTGAACATGTGCTAGTTTTCACATCAAATATATGGCACGTCAAAAGTAGGACACACATGATGACACGACACAATCCTCATCATTTGATGTGACACCAATTTTTATGCAGAAATCTTCGAAATAGCACTAATTATCAATTCATTTCGTGTCTTTGAATAGCAATTGATTTTATTTGCTGTTATTAGTAAATAATGAACTGGGTTTGGGTTCAAATATTCCCTGGCAGGTATCCCCACATGTGGAACACCCGATCACTCGTTTAGTATACCATACATAACACTTCCATCTTTTTGTTACACAAGATAGAAATTAGGAAGCAAGAGGCGATTGTGCATAAACTTACCAGATTTTATCTCATATGTTAGTCGCAACCATTTGTTTGTAGCAAGAATCAGAGCAGGAGCTGTCTCAACTCGGCGACCTGGTTGTACATTCAAAATTCCAGCTATGTTTGGCTTCTGATAATTACCAATGATAAAATTACATTCGGATTGGTTAAATTGCACCTCCAACTGATCAATCTCGATATTCACAGGCAATTGGGTCCGAAGTGATATAGTAATGAGAGACATGGCACCGGGCTTAACTGATGGTTGATGAAAAGCAACCGAAGCAAGAAGTGCCAACCGTAGGGGACTCACAAGATCTATTTCAAGATAAAGTGGATAATCACTACTTACTTTGAAAGAACTGTTTTCTTTCAAAGTAAGTTCCGATTCCCCCCTGGCAACCTCAAATGTTTCCTCGTGAATCTTTGATCTCTGTGAAAGAGTTGCAGGCCCAGCGGGACCACAATATTTGGAGCATGTCTCAGCAGCATTAGTTACATCAGGCAGTGCAGCCATCTCAAGTGAGTATTCTGTGAAATCTTTCACTGAACCAATCCCCCTCGAGCACTCACGTAAATAACCTAATACTTCCCACAAGGACAGGAGCCAGCCTTCACGTCGATAAAGACTTGCAACATGGTCAAAAAGTTTCTTAGCATTACCGAAATCACTAACTGAAAAATATTCCCTAGCCATCTCGAGCCCACAATAGGCAGCTGCCCTCTCAGCCTTCAAGTTACTGTATGCTTCGTAAGATCTTTTCAGGATAGCAATAATTTCAAAGGAATCCTGGAACCTCTTCCCTTCAACAAGTGTATAATGGACATACTCCTTATCAGTCATGCTGCATGCAGATTGATTCAAGAAAATATTCAAAACTTCAATGAGATGTCATAGGATAACTTAAGCATATCATGGGGATATGAGAGCGAAAGTTAAGAATTTTAGGCCTGTTGAACTCACGGTAGCATAATGTATGTATTCTCACGCTCAAGTAACCGAGCAAACTGACCATGATATACTGAAGCAACCACAGACTCAGCGCTCCCATCAGCTGGAATATCTTCTGACATTGACAGCGAAAATTCCAAACATATATTTTTCTTCTTCAGGTAACTTGCTGCCAACTGCTTCAAATTGAAAACATACAATTAAAAAAGATAATAAGTTTACATTTTAACTTTGAAGATAGAATAACTATCACCTGATAATAGTAAGCTGGTTGAAATTCCCGTTCTGTTGGTTTATCAGAAGGAACCGAGGCCATACTTGGAAAGGTCATAACACTGGCAGAGCTTGTCTCCAACAGTTGAGCAAATACCAAGTATTGCCTGCTTAACCACTCCCAATGAAGAAAAATAACTTCTGGAGCTCCCTCAAGTCTCCTATAATTAGCAATGTGCTGACGGAACCACACAATTGCTTCTGCAACTTTTCCACCATGCAACAGTAATGTTGACATCTTAAAATGCAGTTGTTCAGCAATAGTCTTGATCTCGACTAGGCGTTGAATTGGGGGCATTCTTGTAGATGTTCCAACCAGCTGTTAAAATGAGATACACAAATGCGGCAAGGAAGAATTGCATGAGAAAAAAATTCAACTGCATATATTTTATCGTGAACTTAATCTATGCAATCGAGTGATGATAATTCAGAGTGAGCATTTGCCATTTGGTTCCTCGAAACTTCAAAATTGAAGTCAATTATGGTGAGGACAACAACTGATTCGCATGAACAAGCGTGTAAAGGGGACAAAAACTGAGAAAGTTAACACGAAAGGCGACACAGGAAACGATAGATTGATAATACAGGGGTCGCATGACCAGGCAACTAATTAGACTAACGGTTCCAAATTAACAACATTGAACCCTTTCTAGAAAAATACCTATAAAGCATCTGTAATTATTGAGAGACAGCCTTTTGCCTACATGTAAGGGACTGTCCATATACAAATATAAAAAGGTCCATGAAAAAAATTGGATCTTGTTTGAAGATTGAGTTCAAACCATTTCGTTTGTCAAGTGAAATATTAGTTTCTAAGCAGCTTGAGAATTGTTGATGGCTGAACATAAATGACCATTTCAAATTGTGTTGTTGGAATATGATATGAAGTTTCCAAATATTAGCCAAAGTCCTCTAAGAACAAAAATCTCTGAAAACAAGATTTTTCTTCTAAAATGGAAGTCTGTCATATTGACCAATGCATCAGCATCTAGCAAATCAAACTTTTCTGCGACTTTAGGCTGTCAAGGGTACCTCTCGCAGAGCATGATATGCATCCTCATACATCTTCAGAGCTTCAGACCAGTCCCTTTGAAATTCTGCATACACGGCAACCTAGCAATTGATAAGGTTTAGATAGCATAAGAGACGAAATAACATGGAGGAGTAATTTCAATAAAATTGTACACAAAGGAAGATGACCATGCTTAAATACATGTGTACTTCCGATATGTTAAGGATGATAAAAGCACAGATATTTCTTGTCAAACACTAGCCAAGAAAATACGTCCATTTCCTAAGCTTTTAAATTCATATGCAATTACATTGCAGTATACAAACTGAAAAAGTAGATATTAGCAGGATTTCATATCGAAAATAATAGATGGAAACAAGATTGTACTGAATGAAAATTTCACATTAACTACCAAGGGAAATAGATGATCTTAGAAGGGAGGAAGTAATAAACAAAAGGACCTACTTTAAAACAGTAACGAATATTTAACTCCAACGAGCTGAAACTTTTCTTTTCAAGGCGCATCTTTATTTTTCGTCCTTCATCTCTGTAATATGTATTTGCCAGATCGGCAAATGCAGTCCAGAGCCTGCAGTGATATAGCTAATCAGGATTCATGAATCTCAAAAGCCTAGATGAATGAGAACTCATTTAATAATTTTTTAGGCAAATTTGTTTTTCTAATGTATATTCTCCAATTTTAAAGACAGTTGGTAAAATGGACGCACAAGTTCTCGGATAAGGGCATTATTATAGTAACATGCCTGCTTAGAGATTGGTTAAGCTCCAATGGATCATCAGGTACGAAAACAATTAAATTCTTAGAATCTACTTCCGCACGTTTCCGCAATGCAATCATGCGATCTTCACTTATGTCATCTGCAATAAAAATTTCAACTAAAAAGGTCAAATTTTGAGATTCCCATAGTTCATTTTAACAGGAAACGGCATACAAAATAGACAACGAACAGAGTGGTGGGAATAGCAGTACCGAATAGGTGAATACCCAGCAATCATATTATTATATCACACTTCAAGCTCATGAATCCCCGTAACTGACAATAATGCAAGTTTCTAATCCAATATTGGGAGGAACATTGCAGAAGCAAGATTGATCAATTAGATCAATGGAACCTCACAATTGACTTTTCATGCTGTTCAAGAATGTCAATGACATTGGGGTCAGCATGCTTTATGTTCTGGGTATACGCATACGTGATTAATATTAGGGAATATGAAGATTTCATATCCTTAATCTACCTTTTCTCTTTTGAATTTTGTGACCACAAACCGTTGGTACACCATATTATATCACTGCAGTCACTAGTAGGAGAAAGATCACTAGCTAAACCTTAACATAGTAACATACTAAAAGCAAGTTGACCTTCCGATAGATTCTAAGAACCAGGCCTAGTATCCGTTTATAAGACAGAGAGCGCCTATACATATTAAGATAAAGTAGATATAAGAAGAGCAACGATCCAGAAATGAACTAGGAATATAGCACAGCAACAAAGGCGATTCAACATAGCTAGAAACAAAAATTGAAATAATTGAGCTCGCCAAAAGTTTCACACACTAGTGAAGTGAAAGGATCAATCCAAAAGCATAATGTGGCCAGCAGGCTAAAAAATTCATATCACTAAATGTATATTGTATGCGCACGGAAGTATAACACCGAAAACGTGAAATCTATCTGACCTTTATGGCCTGCTTCACAGACAACCACCACCACCAATCTGATGTTTCTCCCACGGATTGTGACCCTGCTCATGAAATGATTTTATAGGATAACAATAGTCAATGCCAGCATAACTGGAGAAATAAACATAATGGTTTGAATATAATTTTTAAGATAAACAGAAAAAAAAAAAAATGCGTACTTGAGGTTTTCAAGATCATTGCAGACCTGAAGCCACTGAGCCGGGTCACCGGAGATATCGGACGAACTGAAGAGAGCAGCCACGACGGCGGGAATCCTAGTCCGGTGCTTGGAAAGCCAATCTCTCTTGATAACGCCACCGATGGGTTCAGAATTATCTCGCGGAGGCTTTCTTGTTGGGATCACGGAGATCTTAGAGAAATCGGGCAATGCGATGGTGTTCATAGGGGGCTGCTGCGAGTGGAGATGCGCCGCGATCAAGCCGTGCACCTCCGGACAGCCCACCACACATGACAAGGCTACAGGCGGCGTGCGGAGCTCCTCCGGGTACTCATCCATTTGATGCTGAATTGAATTGAGTTTTACTTGTGGGGGATTAGGAGATGAAGACTGAAGCTGAGTATGTTTACAAGAACACAGATACAAGCTTATGGGCTTTCCGTTTCGCCATTCTAATGGGCTACAAGGCATTACGTCATGGGCCAAGTTCGCGTTCTTATCGGGCTAGGAAAACATGAAAGATAAAAAGGATAAAAGGTGGATCCTTCGGTTCTCTAAAATAAGTTAAATAAAAGTTAATTTGTGCTAATCAGGTTTTGTATCTATGTACATTAAGGTGAGTTCTGCAGGCAATACGTATTTCACCTAACCTGGTGTTGCCTAACTTTGAGAATCGACTTGGCGCATTAACCTTAGCGTGCCTTGGGTCGATAGGCACCGACATGTTGTATGTGCAGCGTTGAATAAGGGGAAGAGTGCTTAAAAGATTTAGAGGTTTCGAGCGAACTTGAAGAGGACTCGACTTGCAGGCCAAATTTAGGCAATCAGGCGCTGAATGGAGGTTTAGTCGAGCATTTCGTTGGGTAATGAAGACTTATGCGATACTCAGCTTCTCAATGTTTGTTGACTAGATTCCACAATCCCCATCTTGAGGAAGACAGTGCTCTCAAAAGGGTTGGGTCGGATCATGTGTGGAACACGTGAGGGGGCCACGTGGCCTAGTGTGTGGCCCAACCAACTCTCCTAGTGGGTTCGGATGATAGATGACCTATTGGGTATAATCCGGTTGCAAAATGGGGTAAAAGCCAAGGGCTTAGTTAGACGGAAGATTACTGTAGGGCTAGGCGAGGCCTTGCGGGCACGTGGGCTTGACTCAGAGGCACTAAGTCGTGAAGGCTATGTCGAGGCCTTTCACGTATGTGGGATCGATTATCGGATGAGGCGCGGTATATGTGATGTCCTCATGCATCAGTGGGCTCGGACTGTGGGATTATGCTAGCCAATTGAAGACAAAGACAGACTTAGGCACAATCCATGTCTAGGTTGCGCGATTTGGTTAAAATATCAGGATTCGGTTACATGCGAGCGTGTGGACGAGAAGGCAGCTCATTCGACGTGCCACCTGGTCGGTCAAGAAAAGCCCTGAGAAACTCTGCAATAGGCGTTGCACCCCTTAGAGTTTACAACGGCCACAACCGAGTGGCGTGCAACCTGTAGGGTTTGCAATGGCCACCATCAAGTGTGGGCTACCTGTAGGGTTTTCAATGGCAAGGAGTTCAGTTGGCCTACTTCTCTTAGGGTTTGGAAGCTTAACCACATCGAGGAGACGCGGGAACATGGATGCAGAGGGTTATAGACCCATATGTTTCGATAATGTCGTTGACCAGATGACATGATTTGGTTGCAAAAAAGTCAGGACGGTTGTGGACCAAGTCGAGAAAACGCGGGACACAAGATGGACACAGATGGTTTTAACCCGCAGGGTTTCGAAACATTATTGACCAGGTGGCAGGGTCTGGTTGGCTTTGTATGCGAGATGTTCGGGAAGGTTATTGACCTAGTTTCCAAGTGGTCTAGGTCATGCAGAAATGTGCAAGCGATTGAAGATCGAACACGACTAGGGCTGAGTTGGCACATGGTGAGTGTGGGCACAAGTGAGGCACGTTGGGAGTTTATTGAGAGATCCCCAAACATGTGATAGACAACTGCATGCTATGTTGCCTTAGCGTATAAATAGGTAAGGCAAACCATTCATTTGACATAAGTCATATTCTTGTACTCAACAAACTCATTGAGTGATTGTGAGCTGCTACACGAGAGAATTAAGGTGATGCAAAAGAATGATAGAACAATCCTAGTATTTGTGTGCTAGTAAGGGATGAGTTGGGATACGCCAAAGTGTTTGTAGCGTGTGTAAGACCAATTCTATAAGGTCGGCACCAGTTTTGGCAAGCATTTGATAGGAGTGTATGGCCGGTGGGGCATCTCTTGAAAGAGTGAGTAAGGTCAGGTTGCACTAGGCTCTCCAGTAAAAGGATTGTGTGCCCGCATACACGAGATAACTTGAAAAATAGCTTGAATGTGTGTGTTGGGATCGATTGTGTAAGCTGAAAGGAAATCCATTGTACGATTGAGTAATTATGGTACGTTGGTTGGGTGTGGAGCCCACAATCTTGCGTATGTCACTTTATTTACTTGATAGCTTCTGCACGTATTTGAGTGAAGTGCTTGCACAACTCCAAACTATAATTGTGTGGGGGAGGAATGGTTTGGCGGACAATCGAGAAGGCTGACTGATTAGCGAAGACTAAGCCGCATGGTATAAGAACTTGAAAAGTTTGTACCTACTGTGACACTTTATGACTGGTCGAAAAATGTGTGTATATTATATATTTATTATATATTGCATATTTATTGGCCTATTTTTATATGCTTAATTTTGTCTCATTTATATATTTTTCGACTTATTTTGTAACGCCCCACTTTTTATACCTTGAATTTCTAGACTAATTTTTTCTTTTCATAAAACATTCGCAAACTTTACTTGAAATGAGGGCGCTACTATTTCAAAAACTTTTCAAACATGAACTTTCCATAAACATAAAACATTACATGGTGTTGCCTCGAGTACTTACACATTATCTTGTCTTACATGAACCTCGACTTACTACATAACCATAAACTTTACTCAGTGGAAGCATTTAAAACATTAAAATCATGAACTTTTAATATTTGACTACCCTCGCCATCGCTCCATTGCCAGCTCGACAAAACCTGGGTGTAGAAAACAAAAGGGGTGAGCATTTCCACTTACTCCGTGAAGGATTCTTCTAAGTTACCATCCTAACCAACTATCATGCATGAAATCATTAGGTATACTCAACATAATCATGAGCTCTCGACGAGTGGTGGCCCACAAGTAGAAAGACTTTCTTGCTTCTATAACCCTATTAGATAACTAGACACTAGAGTCTTTGCATGCAGGTGATTACATTCTTGTCACACTCCCAACCCTCATCAAACTCCTTATACCACTTTATGGTGGTGGGAGAACAATGTCTCTCGCAGATGACACGGCCAATTAGGCTTGATGAGAGTACCTTTCATTAGGTTGAAGGAAGACAACCTTTCATTATGCTCCGTACAGTCTTATCGATGGGGACAACCGTTCGAAGAGTGCACCAACGAAGGTTACATATAATCACTTCCACCCTCTAACCCTAACACCTAGCCACCCTCTAGAGTTATAGTCCGTGAACCTTGGTACTGCAACAAACGACTTGCTCGAATGTTGGAACATTATATAAACATGGGTACTATGCAAGCTACTTAACTTCATTCAAAACATAGATAATCAAGAAGGATAAATAACGTAGAACTTCCCCCACCTTTTTGCAGAATGCTCGACTTAAGCTTTGAACTTGACTTGAAGAAAATGAGGGCTCGATTCCTCGATAACTACATTCATTGGGGTCATATCTTAGTGTCTTAACATAGCAGTTCTTATACTCGATTTTTGGAAAAACTTTGCTTGTTTGGCTTTGTCTTGCTTGCATTCTTTTTGAAAACATTCTTGCATAAAGTCTTTGGACAAATTGAACTCTTAGCTTGCTTAACGACACCATTCTAGTCATGTAAAGTTTATCATGATCTCACACTACACTATACGACTCCTACATGTCACCTTAGTATGCACAATAAGGGTAAAACTCAATTATGAAATCATTCTTGGAACTCGATAAAATCTGCCACGTGCAGCGTTTTTAAAACATGCATATCTTTCAGCACATAAGTCTTATTAACATGATTCAAGTCCCAAATAGATCCCAAGACATGCTGCTACAACTTTTATTTAGAACTCAAAAGCAGATAAGGTCAAACAAATGGTGAAAAACCAGCTAACATTTGAAACATAGATGCTGTCAAGAAATTAAAATTAGTTCATGCGCATTTTACTAAAACGAGTACAATTCACCACTCAGGTCATATTTTACACGATTCCAAAACCAAATGAAAGCTAACATATAAAGCTACAACTTCAATGAAGACCTCAAGTTCGATTGGGCATATTATAATATAGTAAACAGACCAAACATTAATACATACATGCTGCCGGACCTACAGAAAAACTGCTTGCTCTCTGATTTTTAAACGGCTATAACTTTTTACACAAAGTAGTTATTAAAGTGATTCCAGTGCTCATAGAAAGCTAACAATTCAATCTACAAATCATATGAGGAACTCAGAAACAGAAAACAAGATCTCAAGGGTCTAAACAGCTCGTGAACAGACAACAAGAAAACAGCAAAATCACATGTGATCATGACCATATTTCCCGAACATCATAACATATTGCAAGCAACTTACACCAAACGACTAAAGTCGATTTTCACAACTCTGAACATGATAAATATAACATCAATTCCAGCATCTAATTCACATAAAATACGCACGAGCACGGAACAACAATAACATGCATTCTACTCGGAATTTCTTATCTTTTTCGATAAAAATTTGAAAGCATTTGAAACTCGATCCTAATTCATGGTTTATCCTAAAAACTACTTGATAAACAATTTCTAAAAAACGACTTGATAAACAATTTAATCCAAGATCAAACTTGGACTCTTTTTTTCTCAAATTCATTAAACTATATCACTCTTTTATTTTTGTTCTTGATTATTCTTGATTATTAGAACACAAAATATCAGCCCAATGGAGGAAAAACGATCTGTTTACCATGCTCGGGAAAAGGAAAAAACGGATGGAATGTGAAGGAGGGCTAGGCTTGGGCTCGGCTGGCTAAAGGACTCAGCTTGACAATGGATTTCGGGGCTTTCGAACGGCGCTGCTACCTCGCGTCAGTGTGCTGCTGCTGCATGGACGAGGCTTGCTGCTTGCTTGGATGTCGACGACGATGGAGGTCCACCGAAGGATGGAGGCTGGTCGTGAAATATGGCAATGGGATTTGAGAAATACACGTATGATCTTTTTTTTTTCCTGAAGTTGGGCGTGCGTTTGCGAGAGAAACGAGAGAGAGCTGGTTACACAAATATATA